GTGAGACCTATTAAAACATTATATGATGGATGCAAGTAAAATAGTGCAATTACATTTTTGCATATTTCAACATGGTTGATATTGTCTTCACTGAATATAGTCACACAAGCACAAGCTATGCAATTTTTATTTATACTTGTTTTGCACACCACTATGAGTGGCCTCCTGGTAAATTTATAAATTGCTGTTAGAACCAAATAATCATTGGATCAGAGAACATGTAAATATGACAAGAAAAAAGAAAGCACAGAACAAAAGTCTATATAAATCTGTTGTTGTTGTTGTTATGTGCCATGGAGTAGGTTCCGAATCATAGCCACCCTGCACAGGGTTTCCAAGGCTGTAAATCTTTATGGTAGCAGAAAGCCTCATCTTTTTCCCGTGGAACAGTTTGTAGTTTTGAACTGCTGGCCCTGAGGTTCGCAGCCCGATTGGTAACCAGAACGCTTCCAGAGCTTCTTAGGAGACGTTCAGTTTGGGATAATATCTGAGTCTGTACATGCTGCTTTGTTATGATATATAAATGTGCTTTATGCGTTTTAAAGATTTATGATAGCACATAGGTATGCATTCACTCCTCACTTTTCAAGATGTTTAAGTTATAATTACTGAGTTCTTATGAAAAAATAGACAATGAACACATCAGATCACAGAATGAAATAATGACATCATTACATAGTTTCCAAATTGTGTCTTTGTGTAACTGCCAAATTCCATCATTATATAACTACCAAACCAAAGAGAATCATGACCCCGACTCCTTAACACAGAATCTTAACTAATACAGAATCTTGCCTTGTACATCAGCAACCTTTACTACTAGATGGATGTCAGTCATACACAAATGCTTGGATAGAAGAGGTTTCACTTTTGTATGTGTGAAATGTTGAGTAATAAGATAGTCAGTGAGAAGTAGATGATTCAATAAGCTCTGTGATAAGAAGCAGAAATGTCTTTCAGTCTATTCCGTCTTCTTCCCATAATTTGGGACCATAGCTTCTTCATGGCATTCTTCATCTCCATGTTCCTCAATGTGTATATCAGAGGATTGAGCATGGGAGCAATGATAGTATAAAAAAGTGCAAACACTTTATCTTCTGGGAAAGTACTTTGCGGACGAATGTAAATAAATACTACAGGAGCAAAAAACAGGACTACCACTGTAATATGCCAACTGCATGTGGAAAGAGCTTTGAGACGGCTTTCTCTGGAGTAGGACTTGACAGTATATAAGATTACATCATAAGATGTCAACAGGACCACAAATGTCACTAGACTCACCGAACCAGAATTGGCAAGGACCAAGAGCCCAATCTTGCTGGTATCAGTACAGGCCAGTTTCAGCAAAGGATAGATGTCACAGAAGTAGTGATCTATTTCATTAGGGCCACAGTAGGGCAAGAAAACGGCAAGTATAAACTGACCAAAGGAGTGCATGAAACCCCCAGCACATGAAGCAGCCATAATGACCGCACATATCCTTCTGCTCATGATGACAGTGTAGTGCAGGGGCTTGCAGATGGCCACATAGCGGTCATAGGCCATCCCTGCGAGGATGAAGATCTCAATTCCCCCAAAGAAGTGGATGGTAAAGAGCTGTGTCATGCAGCCATTGTAGGAAATGGTTTTCTTT